TCTGAGACTCAAGGCAAATTCTTAGTGTTAGCCACTGTAAAAATCAGAAGCAAGTTACATATTTTCAATATTTAAAGGTACAGACTAAATATTATCATTCCACAAGGGAGAAACAGGAGCACAGAAAGAAGGGATGGGACCAAAATAAGACCAAAATCGAGCTGTGTAGAACAAGTCCTTTATTTCCACATTCAACATCTAGGGCACATGGCATCATGATATTCTCTCCAAAGGACTTGTAGAGCTAGCTCTGCTCTTATGATCTTGCTTGTTGCAGCCCACATGGCCTCTCTGTTGGCTTATTTCTGCTGAATTCCTACAGCCTTCCTCGGCAGATGTTCCATAGTATTGGCCTCTCTTAATCTCAGGAGTCTCCGTTGCAACTTTGGCTTCCGTCTCATATATTCATGCATCACCCTCTTAGGGCAGCCTGCAGGGACTAGTACCCTGCTGCACTTGGCCTGGCCTCTAAGGCCTTCCTTTGAAATCTTGGTGGGAACCTCTATGACTCCCTATCTCCAGCATCCTGCAGTCCTGCAGAATGTGGTTGACTCCAAGGTCTGCCACCATCTCCAGCAGTAGCAAGCCCCAAGGAACCATGACTGCTACAGTTTCTAAGTACCTAGGTGGCTAAACATAGTGAACCAATTCCTAGGTCCTCCTTTGCAAGCCAGGTGCTTCCCTGATCTCTTCTCAAAGGAGTTTGTAGTGTTACAAGCTTGAGCCTGCCAATTCCTGAGATATCTTTTTTTTTTAAAGAGAGAGAGAGAGAGAGAATTTTAATATTTTATTTTTTAGTTTTCGGCGGACACAATATCTTTGTATGTGGTGCTGAGGATCGAACCCGGGCCGCACGCATGCCAGGTGAGCGTGCTACCGCTTGAGCCACATCCCCAGCCCCTCCTGAGGTATCTTAAGACCATTTTTCCTATTGTTTCTTGGTAAAGTATCTAATGTTTCTTTAGTGGCTATAATGTCTTAACAACCACAACTTCCTTAGCCCCAGTGTTACAGTTTTCTGGCCAAACTGCAAGGTTTTGTTTGTTTTGGTACCAGGGACTCTTATCCACTAAGCCACATCCCCAGCGTTTTTTTAAAATATTTTATTTAGAGACAGGGTCTCCCTAAGTTGCTGAGACTAACTTTGAACTCGCAATCCTCCTGCCTCAGCCTCCGGAGCTACTGGGATTACAGATGTACACCACCATGCCCAGCTCAAATCTTTTTGCTCTGCTTTCTGCCTCTAATAATCACAATAAATTTAGATAAAAGTTGCCAGCAATATCCATGCCACCATCTGAATGTTGTGCTGCCTTGAAATTTCCTCTGCCAGATTAAGGCATCTACAGAATTTGGCTTCACAGAAAGTCTTTAAATTTGGCTTCACAGAAAGTCTCAGGCCATAGGAAAGTATAGACAACTAATTAGCCAGAACATAATATGAATGACCTCTAGTGCAATTTCTAATAGAGCCCTCCTTATCCTCTGAAACCTCATAAGCCCAGTCTTTACTGTCCATAGTCCTATTAGCATTCTTATCTTCTGAACTCCACCATTAAGTTTTACTTATAACATTCTAGTGCTTTTCCAGGTTGCATCACTAAACTTTCCAAAATTCCTTCCACAAATTCCACAAAGCTTCTAAATCACATGGTTAGGTTAGTCACAGCAACAGCCCCACTCCTAGTACTAATTTTTTTTTATTTTGTGAACAAAGGAACTGATAAGAACAATGTCACAGAGGAAATGTTTATTTGGCACTCACCGTTTAGAGTTCTTAGTCCACAGATAACTGACTCCATTCCTCAGGGCCTAAAGTGAGGCAGAACATTCATGGCAGAAGAGTGTGGCAGAGGAAAGCAGCTGGGGATGTGGCACCAGGAAGCAGAGAGAAATTTCCACTCACCAAGAACAAAATATGTACCCCAAAGGCTCATCCCCCATGACATACCTCTTCCAGCCACATCCTACCTGCCTACAGTTACCACCCAGTTAATCACTACTAGAGGACTAATGCACTGTTTAGACTAAGGCTTTCATAACCCAATCATTTTGCCTTTAAACTTTCTTATATATGTCTCACACATGAGCTTTTGGAGAACACCTAAAACATATCTAAACCATAACATCATACTTTTTTTCAGTACTGAGTATTAAAGCAAGAGCCCAGTATGTGCTTGGCAAGCACTCTACCACTGATCTAGATTCCCCAGCTTTTAAAATTTTTTTTGTTTCTTTTTACCCATTCTTTAGTATTTACCTTATTCTAAATAATATCCTTATTCTGCTATTTCTTGATTTATCAATTTTAGATATTATCAGTCAACACACTTCCCTACAGGAAGACCTTGACTACATTAGACTACCACCCCACATCCTCTTATCTCATCTTCCTAATACACTATTTCAACTTTCAAGTTAGTAAAAGTGTTTCATTGTGATCATGTAAATACTGTTTCGTCCCTCTCTTGTTCATTTATTATAAAGCATTCTGGTTTTCCTTGCATTGAAATTGCCCTGTTTTTATTTTTTCATTTGCCAAGTTTCTACATATTTACACGGCTGTAAAGAATGGTACCTGATGTGGTCTTAGTTGTTAAAATCACTCTTAAATGTGATTTCATCTGTTCTTCTAAATTAATTATCTCCCACCATTTGCTTTCTGACTTCTAAAAGTTTCATTTTTTTAATATTTATTTTTTAGTTATAGGTGGACACAATATCCTTATTCTACCTCTATGTGGTGCTGAGGATTGAACCCGTTGCCTCATGCATGGTAGGCAAGTGCTCTATCTCTGAACCAAAATCCCAGCCCCACAAAAGTCTCATATTTTATTGTCTTCATTTTCATTCTTTATCCTTGTTATTTAATAACTCTCATTTTTTATTATAATTTTAGGGGAGATTTTTGAGGAGAAAGGAGATAAAGGTGAAACTGGTTTTCGATAGCCATATACCCTTGAGAGAGTTGTCACTGTGCTGCAGAATGCACTCCCTCTCTTCTGTCTTGAACTTACTTCAGCAGGTTTTTGCTCTCACCAATGGAAAGAATGGATAACTCTTGAGGTAACCAGTGACCACTGCACTGCAATCCAATGGAAGTTCTGTCTTCATTCTATTTGACTTATTTTATTCCTTCTTCCTTGAAATTATTTTTTCAGAGGATCACATTCTCCTGGTTTCCCTGAATTTTTTATTTTTTATTTTTTAGTTGTAGTCGGTCACAATATCTTTAATTTATTTATTTATTTTTATGTGGTGCTGACTATCCAACCCAGGGTCTCACATGTGCTAGGCATGCACTCTACCACTGAGCCACAACCCCAGCCCTGTTTCCCTGAAATTTTGTTGACCTCTTATTTTTAGTCTTCATTTCTGGTTCCTCTTCATCTCTCCACTCTTAAATGCTGGAGGGCCCCAGGGTTTAGTCCTTGCATTTGATTGATTATCTCATCCAATCTAATGACTTAGAATACCATATGTTCTTAATTGCAAAATTTTTATATCCAGTTCCAATCCTTTATCTGAACTCCAGAATCATCATATAGTCACCTGCCAGTTCACTATCTCTGCTTGGCATTCACACTTGATATGCCTAAAACTAATTCTTCCTGACTTTCCCTTCAAAACCTGTTCCTTCCTCTCATCCTATATCAGTAAATGGCAACTGTATCTTTATTTTTACTTGTTCATGCCAGAGACTTTGGAATCATTTCTCTTTGTCATGTATCCTCTGTATATATCAAGAAATGCCTTTGACCACTCCTCATCATCTCTACTACCTCTTCCCCAGTGCAAGCCACATCATTGCTCACCTAGACTATTGTAATAGGCTTCTCACTTATCTCTCTGCTTCTGCCCTTACTTCACCAAACCTACAATCTGTTGTCAAGACAAGAGCAGAGAGTTGGACACAATGGCACACACCTATAATCCCAGTGACTCCGGAGGCTGAGGCAGGAGGATTACAAGTTCAAAGCCAGCCTAAACAACTTAGCAAGACCCTGTCTCAAAATAAAAAAGATGGGGATGTGGCTCAGTGGTTAAGCATCCCTGGGTTCAATCCCCAGTAACAAAAAGAAAACAAAAAATAACACAGAATAATCAGGGTCTGTTTTTTCTTTTTGATCTAAATCAGATCACAATAATCCTCTGGTTTCCATTTGACTCAGCAAAATATTTTGCCATCACGAAAACAAAGTCACTCTTCTTGAGGTTATCAGTGACCACCACACTGCAATCCAGGAGACAGTTCTCAGTCTTCAAGTGGCTTCCTATTTGATTCAGTAAAACTTCAGTTCTTTCAGTTTTATGTCAGACCATCTTATCCCATTCTACTCAAACTACCGCTCTCTTCCCAGGTATCAAACTTCCTTACTATTACTTGAGTATTTTAGGCGTATTTCCAACTGAGGACCTTCACAGATGTTTTCCTAGATCTGGAACACTCTTTTGCCAGACACCCTTATAGCTTTCTTCTGCACCTTTCTAGTCATTGGTTAAGAATCATGTCAGTGATTTCTTCATGTCACCCTGTTTTAAACTATACCTTTTTTTCTTCTCTCTCTGCATTATATTTTCATCCTTTTTCCCCCTTTGTAGCATATATTGTTTTGCCTCCTAATACTGTCATTAGTACCAAAAGATTTCATTCTGAAAAGAATATATGGATGTCATTATGAAATTACAACTAACAACGATAAATGACATTGGTATGATATAAAGTAATACCTTTACTTCACAACTACAAGCTATAGTATGCACCCGTTCCCTAGACATTCATAACTAATGCACGAGTGTCATGTTTTGTCATTTGCACTATTAGTAGATTTAAGAAGTTGAGATTAATTTGTTAAAAAAATCATACAGTATGTCCTTGATCATTTAAATTTTAAGTCATTTAAACATATGTATATTTTTTTTCATAATCCAGCACACTGAAGAAGTTTTAGTTTAAAGACAATAGGTAGGCTTCAGTTGGAAAATAAGCCCCAGGGGAAAAAGGCAAGTCATATAGGGAATATTCCCTTTATTTTTAATTTTTTATTGGCACATTATAATTATACATTATAACAGGGTTCATTTTGATATATTCATACCTGCACATAACATACATAACTTGGTCAATTTCATTCCCCCAGTACCTCACCTTTTCCTCCTCTTCTCCCTCCCACTAACCCTATTCTTCTACTTTGCTGATTTGCCTTCTATTTTTATGAAATCCATCCTCCTCCCCTTTTTTTGAGGAGGGGTTGTTTTGTTTTGTTTTTCCTTTTTTCTCTCTAGCTTCCACAGATAAAACATAATGACTGGACTTTCTGAGACTGGCTTGTTTCACTTAACGTGTTTTTTCCAGTTCCATCCATTTTCCTGCAAGTGACGTAACTTCATTCTTCTTTTTAGCTGAGTAAAACTCCATTGTATCTATTTACCATATTTTCTTTATCCATTCATCTGTTGACAGGACACCTAGGCTGGTTCAGTAACCTATTGTGAATTTGAAAGCATGCCTTTTAGATGGAATAATTAGAATTGATACTTTGCCTCCTATCAATTTCATCTTATCTATTCTGTTTCTAATGCATTTGCTTCTAGGATCTGTGGATTTTTAGATTCATCTTTCTAATCAAGTCAGGAAATTCACAACTATTATATTCATTCTGTGTGTTCTTTTGGGAACTTAAAATTAGACCTATATTAGACCTCACTTTGTCTTCCCTTTTCTTAATTTCCATCTCTTTGTCTCTGTGCTCTAATCTGAATACTTATTTAATGTATATTATGTATTACTCAGCTATTCACTCAGCTGTGTCTAATTTATCATTTAATTCATTCACTGAGGTTTAAGTTTCCATAATTACATTTTAATACTTATATTTTAAATTTTAAAAATTATATCTCAACAATTATGTTTTATCTAGAATTTGTCTTTTTTTTTTTTTTTTTTGGTAGGGGGGCGGGTACCGGGGATTGAACTCAGGGGCACTCAACCACTGAACCACATCCCCAGCCCTATTTCGTATTTTATTTAGAAACAGGGTCTCACTGAGTTGCTTAGCACCTGGCTTTTGCTGAGGCTGGCTTTGAACTCATAATCCTCTTGCCTCAGCTTCCCAAGCCAGTAGGATTACAAACAAGTGTGTGCCACTACACCCAGCTAGAATTCATCTTTTAATCTGCTGTTCATTCCTGTTAATTTATTGTGGCCTTTATTTAAGCACACTATGTTATGTCTCTAAGAATTCCATTATCTGCAATCCTTGGGAGTAAAATGTTTGTTGTTTTGTCTGACTCTCAGTGTCTGGCCTCTTCACATATATAGTGATATTTAGTAGTTCTTTGCTTGCTAATATATATGAATTCTACAGGCCAATACTGGGGAAGTCTTGACTCCACAGAAGATTTGCTTCTGCCCATGCTGGTAAGTACTGTGGGAGTATCACCATTATGGAACCATGTTAGACCTCCCTTAAAGATCTTACATAAGAGTAAGAAACCAGGATCACCTTCTCCCACTTTATTTACTGGCCTAAAGCTTTATATCCTGACAGCTAGGCTACTTATAAGGCTGTCTACCCACAAGGAACCCACATTCCTCCCTTCTGCCTAGTTTTTCAGCTCATCAGTTTTGATTAGTTATTGCCTTCTCCCCCACTTCCTTGGAGATCAACAGTGCTTGAATGTGTGAATCTTAGCCAAGGCCTGTCTTGATAACCAGGAGAGTCTCACATATAGTCCTCTCCCAGAACTCCAATTTCCATACTCTAATAACCAATTATTACAATTTAACCTTTTGAGAAATTAATGATATGTGATGGGTTTGTTTCTTTGGGATGACTGGGTTTTTTAACTATTAAAGGTATTTATTTTCTAAAAACTAATCCTTAGTTTGAAATTAGGAAATATATTCTCAAGGGGATATGAGGAGAAAAAAGGAATGAAGGATATCAATACTAAAAAGTAGAAAAGGTATCATTTTGGGGAAAAAAAGTGTTAGCAAACTTAATAAACCAGCAACATAACAATTTCACTTATTTTTCGCATTTTGCCACAGATCTTCGCAGGGCCCTAAATTGAAATGAGTATTTGAAAACTTCTGCTTTAAGATCTAGAAAATAACTAAGTGCTTTCTGGCTTATGAGAGGAAAGATACATTTATAATGTTTAGTTTTGAGTGTATTTTGTAATCAATAATAACATTCTTTGAAACTCTTTGTAAACCATGTGCAGTGATTTTCAGCAACCAAACTCATAATTAATTGGAAAAAATCAACTCTTCAACCACTGTATTAAATTATTAAATATGTTTTTCCATTTGTATGTTAAAATGCAAACTTAAAAAACAACCAAAATGGCACCGGGTATGGTGACGCACGTCTGTAATCCCAGCAGCTCAGGAGGCTGAGATAGGAAGATCATAAGTTTAAAGCCAGTCTCAGCAAAAAAGCAAGGCACTAAGCACCTTAGTGAAACCCTGTCTGTAAATAAAATACAAAAAAAAAATGAATATCTTAATATGAATGGTTAACACATTTTCCATTTGAAGCTTACTAATATTCTATAAGTTGAAAATGGATCAAGTTCTTTCATACATTTCTAGGACTGGAAGATGAGAAGATTAAGTAAGATGCCTACCTAACTAATAAAAATTATTGTGGACACCAGTTAGAGGAATCTGTGCATTTTTAAGGGCAGAATATATCATTTCTGATCAAAATTTTTAAAAGGGTCAAGCCTTATGTTTAAGTTCCAGCTCTGTCAAATTGCTAGTTAGCTTTCTAAGAGAACTTAACCTCCGAATCTCACTTTCCTTATCTACAAAATTTCCTCATCTATAAAAATCGTAACTACTTCATGGAGTTGTTGAGAGGACTAAAGGATTCTGTTTCATGCACTTAGCAGAGCACCTGACATATAGTAAAGACTTGGTATGTATTAACGCTTGCTGTTAATAGCCATTTGTTAATTTCCATGTTATCAATATGTGATTTTGAATCAGACACTAAGGAATCCTGCTAATGAGATCAAGTGAAAAAAAATATATTTTAGGAACAGGAATATTCTTGAGTACTACTCTATTAGAAGAATGGGATATTCTCTCTGTTTTCCAGTACAGGTATTAAAAGACCACGGGGGAGGGACTGGGGTTGTGGCTCAGCGTTAGAGTGCTTGCCCTGCACGCATGAGACCCTGGGTTCGATCCTCAGCACCACATAAAAATAAATAAGTGAAATAAAGGTGTTGTGTCCAACTACAACTAAAAAATAAATATTTAAAAAAACAAAGGGGAAAATACTGTTAAGCAATAAGCAATCAGGATTCTGCAATGTTGGGCACACATGTGTGATGATGCCATGTAGGACTTGTAGTCTCAACACTTGGAATCTCAAGTGGGTATTATAAATAGGGACCTCCATTTTCTGGTAGTTAAGAAAGCTCTCTACTCAGATATAACCATCAGAAATACATGAGAAATGAACATGGCCCCCAACACGCACTTTTTAATTTTTTAGAGACTTTGAAGCAGATGAAAGGAATATGTAAATACCTTTTGTTTACCTTCTCACATTAATTTTGGTTTTGTGCAAACTTTTGCCTTGTATGGAGAAAAAAATAAAGTCTTGTTCTCAGCAATGCTTGTTCTTGTTGGAGTCCCAAAGCCATTTGCATTATTTTTATTGCCTTTTACTCATAAACATTCTGGGCTTTTTTTCAGTACAAATGGAGTTCCTTTTTAGTTTTACACTTTACCATGGTTAAAAATGTTTTTAAAATAATTTGTTTTAATGGAGTCAATAATAGATGTCTGTGTAGCTTATCCCTGAGGTGGAGTTATTGGTGTAGAAACTAATTGACCACCAATATTCACACTCCGTACTTTATAAGTAGAATTCCCACATTTTAGTTGGCTAGAAAGAGTTTATATTTTCTAGCCACCTCTTTCAAAGTTAAGTTCCAATGGGATGTAGGAGAAAGTGATGATGGATGTGACTTCTGGATTGTATCATGTAACAAGTAAATATATGAAAAATGCCCAACATCTAATTATTAGGGAAATGAAAATCAAAGGCACAAGGCATAATCCCAGCTACTCAGGAGTCTAAGCAAGAGCATTGCAAACTCGAGGTTACTCTCAGTAACTTAGAAAGACCCGGTCTCAAAAAATAAGAGGTGGGGGCATAGCTCAATAGTGAAGCACCTCTGGGTTCAATCCCTGCTACAAAAAAAAAAAAAAAGTTGCATTGAGATACTGTCTCACACCTATTAGAATGGATAGCATAAAAAATAAATAAATAAAGCAAAGGTGACAACTGTTGGCAAGGATGTAGAGAAAAAATTCTCCTTGCATACTATTGGTGGGACTGAAATTAGTATAGCTGTTATGGGAGTTTATGGAGGTTCCTCAAAATATTAAAAATAGAGCTATCATACAATCCAGCAATCCCTCTACTGTATATAATTCCAAGGAAATGAAAACAATGTCAAAGAGATGTCTCCAACCCCGTGTTCATCAATGGATGAATGCATAAAGAAAATATGGTATGCATTCAAAAATGGAAAATTGTACAGTCTTTAAAAAAGAAGAAAGTCCTATAATTTGTGACAACGTGGATGAACCTGGAGGACCTTATGCCAAGTGAAATATTAATATACAAGCACAGAAAGACACATACTGCATGATCTCACTTATAAGTGAAATCTAAAGCCAAATGTAAAGAGTAAAATGATAGTTACCAGGGGCTTGGAGTGGTGTTGGCACTGTAGAGATGTTAATCAAAGGATACAAAATTTCAATTAGGTATTGAATAACATGGTAACTATAATTAATAACAATGTATTATACACTTAAAAATTACTAAGAGTAGATTTTAAGTGTTCACCAAAATAATTATATAAATAATGCACAAATAAATATGTGAGACTGTATACAATAACTTGATTTTTGCCATTCTACAATGGATATATATTTGAAAACAGTATGTTGTATACCATTAATATACATAATTTTTATCAGTCAAAATATATTTTTTAAAAGTACTGGGGTGTGTATTTCTCTTGCCCTGTCCCTGCATTCCTTCTCTGCAGTGGAAGTAGAAGTAAGAGTTCCTTAACCATTTAGATGCTGACATAACTATATGTCAAAGATGACAAACCAGCCCTACGAATCCTGGACCACCCACCTCTACCATAATTTGAAAGAAATAACCTTTTATTGTTTTTCAGACACTGTGCTGGGGATCTCCTTATTTAAACAACTTGGATTGTACTAAAATCAATAGAGGCATAAATGATCTAATGCATAAAAAAATTACACTTGATGAGGAAGGTGAATTGGGTGGAAGCCTTAGATGAAATTGCCCATTCTGCATTAAAGGGTCAAGAAGAAATATCTGTACAAATGCCAAAAATTCTCCCTTGGCCAATGTAACTGAATCTGATGAGTTAGACATTTGACCTTGGGTAAACCACTTACCTTTATCCACATTTAAGCTTTAAATTGAGAAGATTGAAGTTAATCTCTCAAGGATCCTTTCTAGCTCTGTTGGTCTGTAAATATGTGTTGTCCTAGAAAAGATGAGTGATGAGAAAATGCTTGAGATACTAAGTATCCAAACTGACCACTGGAGACTCTAAGTAGCATGTGCACGGACAACAAGGGTTCCAGCAGAATAGTTCTATTTTCTTCAATCTGTTTGCAAACTGGTTCTTAATTGACATCTCTTGGTTGAATCTTGCTTTTGCAAAAAGTGATAGCCAACATACATTCTTTCTCTGAACCACTTCCCTTAGAGCTATAAGATTGTTAATTGGCCTTTCAAATTAACACAGGTGACATTTTCTCCAATACATATATCTATAATCCATTATGGATTGTTCTTGTTCTCATGGTTTAAGACGGTTTACCACCCTCACAACTGAGTATCAACCTGTGTGGAAGAAAAAAGGAAGCAGATAGCAGGTAGTTTCTCTGTAAGCATTTATCTAACCTAACTTCATCTAACTTTAATGTATTTGTGGAACAAAAAAAATAATAGTAAAAGGGCTGGAGATATAGCTCAGTTTGTAGAGTGCTTGCCTCACATGCACAAGGCCCTGGGTTCAATCCCCAGCACCAATAATAGATTTCAAGTCACCAGTGATACAATTTTAAGAAAAGTGACATTCTGTACAGTGAACCACTTAATCTCTGTTTAATCATCAAGTTTTATTACAATATTCATTTGGATAAGGTTTTACTTTTTTAATATTTATTTTTTAGTTTTAGGTGGACACAATACCTCTATTTTATTTTTACGTGGTATTGAGGATCAAACCCAGTGCCCCAAGCATGCCAGGCGAGCGCACTACCACTTGAGCCACATCCCCAGCCCAAGACTTTACTTTTTCCGTCTTTTCTGATCTAACAATTTGGCTTCACAGAATAAACACATTCTAACTGCATTTTCCCTACAATATTGAGCCTTGTACATTTTACTAGATTCCCAGTCGTGGTATTCACCACAGTTAACACAGCCTTGCCAAATCTATTAATGTATGAAAACCGAATTTATAATTCAGAACTATTTAAATTCCTTAAGTGATGCCTTCTGATACAGACAATGCTACACGCAAGACACCCTTAGTGTCCGGTTACCTAAGCAGATATACCACAATGACCGGTACCGTGAACCATTTCACTCATTCTTTAATTCCAGTTCCTTTATCTTCCACATATCCCCTTTTCTTCTAGACTCAATTTTGATCACCTACGAGGACCTGGTTGCTAAGAGACAAGACGCTGGGAGGGTGGGGACGCTGCACTGCGACAAGTCAGGGAGCTAAATGCAGGGAGGGGGGCCGCCGCGCGTCCCGCGGCCTCCAGCCTCGCAGGAGCTCGTCGCTCATTGGCTCCGCCACTGCGGCGCTGGCCCACGATTGGCCGGGCAGCTTCGGGCCCAGCGCTCCCCCGCCCCTCGGCGCTGGTGCCAGGCTGCCGCCTGCGAGCAGCCAGGGCCGGTGCGTGAGGGCGACGCGGCCCGGTTTGCGGGCTGGGTCGTGGGGGCCTCTTGGCGCGAGCGCGGGCTGCGCCAGCCACTGCAGGTGAGCCGCGGCCTGTGGAGGTGAGCTAGACGCCCGAGGGCTCTGGCGCCCGCCGAGAGCAGGAAGTAGGGCGAAGGGCGGTACCGCTCGCCGCCAGCGGGTACCGTCGCTGTCCCCACCCCGGTGGGGTGAGCTGGGCCGGAGTCCCTCTCTCCCAGACGCACCCGAACGCCCTCACGCGCAGCCCTCCGCGCCCCGCGCAGCCAGCCGACCAGACTCCCGCCACCCGCCTGCTCTCTTTCCTGCAGCGGGTCCCGCCCGCGCACCAGCTGAGGGAGTCCCAGCTTCTGTCCCGCATCTGTCCCCGCCTCGCCCCGCTGCCCGGCGCCTTTGTCTGCTCCTCACCCACCCCGCTCCCGAGACTGCGCCCACACCGGGTGGAGCCGAACCTCGAGGGTCCTAGGGGGTGCCCCGAGGACTCGCCGCGCTGGGAGCCTGCGGGCCGAGGTTTGAAGGGCTTTGACCCACTCAGCCTGGGTGTGGGATGTGATTTTACTTTCTCCCTCTGGATCAAGGCCAACTCCCTTGGTCAGGGTTCAGGAAATCCTGCTCCAGGCTTCTCTCTGGTCCAGGGTTACTGCCCCTGTTACACCAAAGGCCTCGGACCTGCCCCACTGGGCACTCTCTTACCATCCTGTCTCTGCCTTGCGGGGAAAATTCTCTTGTCTACAAGAACCTTTTCTATTTGAAAAAAAGAAAGAAAAAAAAATAGATACTTGTCATGGTCCTGTATGTGGTAGATTGAATCTAATATGTATACATAAACCAAGATATGAGAATGAGGGAGGGGATAGGGGGACCGTCCTTTAACAAGTGTGAACTATTCAATAATAGAATTTTGATTTTTGGCAAATAATGTTTTACTTTAAATGTTTTAAAATTTTGATATTTTATGAATGGGAGTGGATTTAGTAGTAGGGTAATTTGACTTTTATTGTCACACTCAGTTATTAAACTAATTCGTGGGAAATTTTTATGCCAATAATGGCCAAAGTAGGAAGAAGGGATATAATGATAGCAGTAAATTACTTCGCACAATTTGTATGCCAGAAGATGTGCTGGTGCTTCATAATGTTATTTAATTCTCACAATAATCCTAAAGGTAGCTATTTTTTTTCATATAAGTGAGACAATTGAAGCTCCAGGTTGCACTACTAGTGGTAAAGCTGGATTAACATCTACAACTCACTCAATTTTACTTCATTAGGATATTACTATCTTTCCTTTTATCCATCATATTAATCTTTATGAATCTGTTTAATCCAAAAATCTCAGAAATGGTAATGCTACTCCTACAAACATAGTCCTCACTGTGTGTCAGGTAGTACTTTTCATCAAAAGTGTATGTGAACTAGCTACTATTATTTTCTTTGTTTTAGAGATGTGGAAATTAAGGCACAGAAATTATCTGAACCAGATAATACCTTAAGTTGTAGATCCAGGATGCAAACTTGGACAATCTAACTCCAGAATCTACACTCATAATCACTACATTATACTGGCCCTTCAATAAGGTACATCTCTGGTTGGTAGGAAGATTAATATTTTTCTTTATGTGTTTCTTTTTTAATGTCCATGTAAATACATATAGGATAGCTATGATGCCTGCCACCTCATATCTTATACCAGTGTCTTATTTAATAGTTATGTAGTACTAGTCATAGTTACATTGTAAGCTTACTATAATCCAACACCTGTGAACACAGTCTTAGGAAGTAGTTGCTGTTATTGCATGCTGCATCTCATTTGTGATGTGCTTTAACTTCAAAGTACTTTCACAAAACAATCCCTTTGAATCTCTTCACTGTTGGAGGTGTTTTCATCACCTAATTTTACAACTGCAGTTCAATAAGAGTCAATAACATACCATTGACTCTAGAAATCAATCCAGAGCTTCAGACTCTTGTGTACACTGCTTTTTCCACTGTTTTGGTCTGTCAGTGGAAGCTTTGCTTTGTACTTCTTATACTGAAATAGGCTGTATTTTCCCATAGAAACAGCTAATATTCAGAGATTGTGTTTTCAACCTAGAATCCAATGTCAGATAAACCATATATATGAGTAGCCATAGACCTTTGTCATTATTTTCATCTGTAAATTCATGATCCAAGTTCATATACAGTGCCTGGCACATAGTGGGGGCTTAGTAATATTTTTATTTTATTGTTTTATTTATTGGTTGTTTTTGTTGTTTTAAAACTGGGTATAACCAAGGGGCATTTTATCCCTGAATTACATCCACAGCTCTTTTTTATTTTTATTTATTTATTTATTTATTTATTTATTTATTTTGTGTGTGTGTGTGTGGTACTGGGGATCAAACCCAGGGTCTGTGCATGCAAAGCAAGCACTCTACCAACTGAGCTATATCCCCAGCCCCATTATTTTTAATTTTGAGGTCTCAAATTGCAAGTTTGAGATTTCAAACTTGCAATTCCCCTGTCTCAGCCTCTCCCAAGTTACTGGGATTTCAAGCATGCACCACTGAGCCCCTCTCCTTAGTAAATGTTTGAATAAAATAAGTGCCTCAGAGACACATTAACATAAAAAGTCTCCTAAAATGTTTAGATTTGAATGGGTAACTTTTTTAGTTTCCAAGCCAACAGCCTTTTTCCCCATTCACCTCACAAGCAAAAGCTTTCAAAGTTGTTTAATTAAACATAATTAGCTTCGTAATGAATTAGCATCTGTATCTCCTTACCCTAAACACCATCATTCCCATCTCAGTGCCTCCCCTCTTATATAGACTGGAAAGAACATGGATTTGAGAGTCAGTTTTACCTAAGGTTGAATCCTTGGTGTGTGTGTTACTAGCTCTTTGACCTTATACAAGTCACTAAACTTTGAGCTTATTTCCTAATCTTTTAAAATTGGAAAGAACCTGCCTTATAGGGATGAGGATTTATTGAAATAACATGCAAAAGACTTAACACAGTTCCATGGCTCCTGGTGGATACATAGTAGATAACAGCCATAATGTGTTCCTCCTCTGCTGTTCCATGGCTTCCCTCTGCTTTGATTCTTGTACAAAATAATATTAATATGATGTTTAAAATGTACTCTTCTACTAATATCCCTCACCAAAGCATAAACTCCTTGAAGACTGGGACCACATGGCATGGTCATAGAAGGGACTTTTATATCTAATACATGGCAGAGGTGGACCCACTAAATGTATGTTGAATTACATCCATGTGGAAAGCCATCTAGAGCCTTTTACTTGGTGATATTATTGTCTGAAAACTTGGACCCCCTTGATTTAGATATAAGGCACTAGATAAAGGTCTCCTGGGTTAAGTAGAGATTGTGATGGAAGAGAAATGGGTAGGAACCCTGGGAATTCTCCACTCTGCAGGAGTGTATGTTTGAGGGGGTTATTGGCCACTTATACAAGTGGCAGTGTGTCTGTTTGTGTGTAAGAATTGAACCTTATCAGTCCAATTGTCGCCTTTGCTTCTGAAGACAAGAAGGATGGAGAATTTTCCAAAGAAAAGTTGTTTCAAAATGTAAAAATAATTATAGTTGTTGATATAATTCCTCTACCATTTTTATAAGTAATAATCACAAGGCACAATGACTGTAATGCTTAGCCTAAATTTTAAGTTTCATTGTACCTTCATCTTTTGTAGAATGGATATTCAGTCATAGAAAAACTAAGGGAATATTGCTTAGGAATAGAATGAAATTATAATTCTTAATTTTAACAAGCTATGTATTTGGGTTTTTCACAGTTTAGTTATATCATCTATGGATTGCTAATAAGTATAAATTAGGCACACTTAACAGATTTTTTAAGGAAAATAAATTATATCCCATCCCCCCCAGCATTTTACTGTGAAAAATTTTGAATATACAGCAGTCTAAAAGAATTTTATAGTAAACACTCATAAATCCATTACCTAGATTCTACCATTAATATTCTGTTATGCATTTACTGAATATTTATCCATCTGTTCATCCTATGTATCCATTTATGAAATAATAATATTCAGATGCTTTTATATTTGAAGAGATTTGGGCTAAATAATCTGAGTTTATTTTAAGTAAATTTTATTTTTCCTTTATATAGTAGCAGTTTTTATTTTGTTTTGGGGTTTTTTGTTTGTTTGTTTGTTTTGTAGTACTAGGAATTGAACCCAGGGGAGCTATACCACCAAGCTACATCTCTAGTCCCTTTTTATTTTTGTATTTTGAGATAGTCTCACTAAGCTACCCAGGCTGGCCCCAAATTTGTGATCATCTTGACTCAGCCTCCTGAATACCTGAGATTACAGGTGTGCACTGCTGTACCCAACTAGATAATTTTTAGAAATGCATTACAACTAATTTATAATTTTCTGAAAACATTGAAATTTCAGATATAAATAAAGCTGCTTGTCCTCCTTATCCCTAGTTCCAAAAGATGAGTCGTGGATATTCAGAAAACAACAATTTCCTGAACAATAACAACCAAATGGTATTGGACATGATCCTTTATCCATTAATTGGAATCCCTCAGACCATCAACTGGGAAACTGTGGCAAGGCTTGTACCTGGATTAACACCCAAAGAGGTAAATAACATTCCCCCAGATATCTCCTGGGTAAAAAAAAAAAAAAAATCAGAAAAAAAAAATGAGCAGTTTAAAGAAACAACCAATAAGTAAGAGAAAGCAATTCAAATTTTA